CATGCATTGCACATGGACATGAAAACCACACTTCAAAGGAAACGAGATATTGCATTCTGGCCACAGATGAACTCAGGGCCGGTTGCACCAACGTCGCTTAGCGCAAAGCGGAGCTTAGCCGGGAACTTAAGCTTAGTTTCGGTTTCGTTCGGTTGCACCAAACTCGCTTATCGCTAAACCTAGCACTAAACTACGCTTAACTTAAGCGCTCAACATTGGGCGCTTTGCTTCTGGTTGTTTCTTAATCCTGGATTAAAAACATGGCGGCTGGTCTGTCACGGTCGACGCGGTGGACGAAATTGGTTGTGCAAAGTGTTTTAGGCTACATCGGCGTGAAAGTCTCGACTAAATGACTTTCGATTGTGACAAGGATGCAAAATATTGTCGCGTGAAGTGTTGATCGACCCCTGTTTTCAAGTTGGCTCTCCACTTTCAGGGCGTGTTAGCCCTAACCGAGAAACGTACGGAGCTGTGGGGCTCACGATTCCCGTTGGTTCTTCTGTCAACGAGCTTATTCGTATGTACTTACTAATTTTCGCATAGCTGTAACGTATTGTTATTTACCACCTTGTTTATTTACACTTGCAGCGCGTATCCTTCAATCTGATCAGCGCGTTGAATAGTGGCAGTACATGATCTCGGCGATCAGCTGACTGTCCACACCTCTGCCGTTTGCATTAGATTCCGGCGCTTTTAAGTAATAAAACAACGAAAATTCAATTTCTTTCGTTTCTGAGTTTTGAGACAATCTTCAGTGAATTTTCCTAATCTCGCGAGTAGAATCTTGGCTTCAGAAAACTGTATCGTTCCATAACTAACTTTTTTGGTGATCGCATTTTTTTTTATATACTTTGCTTTATATCTTTCATTCGTTTCCCGAGAACGAGATACTGTTGTTTCCGAGTTGTGCTCTGTGATGGTGTTTTCCCTTTACTTTTGTCGTTTGTTGTCATTGTGACGACGGTTGAGACTATATACCGGAACACGTTTTCAATAAAATTCAGTTGAAAGTTGCGCCTTGTTGTGTCCTACGTAACTTTTTTGGTGATCGCGATTTTTTAGGAATATTTTGCTTTATATCTTTCATTCGTGGCGACGACAAATCGTAACGACTACTATGTTAGATTCGTGCATTGCTGTATCGGGGCAGGCTGGGGCAGGTGATGCGAAGAGACGACCGTTCTTATCGGCACGATGTAATGTACTAGTGGGAGTGTTTTTTTTTTTTTCTGAACTTGACAGTGTGAAACTGAAGTCCGTTTGAGGCTGCAGCGGATGTTCAACGACGGTACAGTGCAGTTCTGTCACCTTGCTGATAGCAACGAGTACCGTCGATGCAAGGTCTCGTGACCTGACCTCTCGACGACTTCTATTCGACGATTTCCGGGCATTTTCGCAGCTGCCGTGGCGAGTTCGTCACTGTTTTGAACTTCATCGGTCTCAGGTTTGACTTGATTTTAGTAGTAATCTTACCTGCCTACTTATATCGATGATGTTTTGTCTTCAGCGATGTAGCCAGTAGAGTCCCCGATGGCTCCTTCACCTCAAAATGTGAGCACGAAAACTACTACCACTGCGAAAATATCCTGTTATCAACCGATATTAAACACACAATCACAGATGTAAAGAACATTCGTGTTTATTTGAAGCTTTGACTTCTGTTATTGAAAGTTAAACGAAAAAATGATTGAATTTGGAGACCTTTAATTTGTTACTCACCGAAGAAATACAGCGAAAAGCAGACGCCAACGACTACTACTACGGCTGTTTTTTTTTTTTTTTTTTTTTACATCACGTGATTCCTCTCCGCCAATCGTATTCGTCGCTCTGAGCGTTCCCTAGTTTGCTCTGTTTGTCCCTAGATTCCCTACGAAAATCCAGCGTTTAGCTAGGGGCGCGTCTGTAAAGCCGGCTTAACCTTGGTGCAACCGGAATTTAAACCCGTGCTTACCTAAGCTCGGTTTAGGGCGCTAAGCCGGCTTAGGAAAGTGCCGCTTTGGGTTAAGGTAAGCGGCGTTGGTGCAACCGGCCCTCAGAATTTACAAACTACACACGGCATGCGGGATATGCCAAACTCACTCTCACAGACAAAAAAAAAAAGAAACTATGAAGACCCACTTAATGACAAACCAACCATGGGAGAGAGTGGGTTCATACCTGATGGAATGCAAAGGAAAAACATTTCGTGAGATCGTGGACTACTACAATGGATTCTTTGAAGTAGACCAACTGCGATGGACTACATTAGCCGCGGTCATCAGGAAAATGAAAGCGAACTTTGCAAGAGATGGCCGTCCATCAGCTCTTGTCAGCGACAACGGTCCTCAAATTTCAAGTAAAGAGCTTGTGAATTTTAGACGAGAATGGGGTTTCAAAAACGTGATATCAAGGCCAGGCCATTCGCAGCCCAACTGCATGGCTGAAACTGCTGTAAAAACAGCGAAGAAGATACAGCGAGCAATGATGGATGGAAGTGGCCCGTACCCAGCACTACACTCTAAGAAGAGATGGAGGAAAAAAGTAGCAACGGCGCGTCTTCCTCCCTTCTACCGACGCGCCCCCAAGCGGACACGAAAAAAGGGGAGGAACGAAACGTTTTTCTCCTTCTCCAGGCAGACGGGAGAAAGCTTTCGCCCTCCCGACTCATCGTCTTTCGGTTTCGTTTTACGAGCAGGTCGCGCACGTTGTTTAATAAATAGCTGTTGAGGTGATTGAGCTTCAGAGGCAGCGAAGGCCGCCTGTAATTCCGTCTTCTAGTCTAAACGTGCAGAACATTTCGGTTGCATTGACGTTTTTATCACTAATTTTATGAAACGATCAAACGAAGCCGCTAGAAACAGCGAAGTTCCAGAGCAGTGCCAGCAGCGCGCCACGTACACTGGGCGATGGCCGTCTCCGGATTGCGGGACTCGCGCGGTACGGAACTACAGCACTGCAGTCACTACAGTAGCGAAACCACGCGGAACTGTGTCGACGTTTTCGACGTTATGGAAACCCCAGGAACTGCGTCCAAGACAGACAGGTTCTGCTGCCGGCTGCCTGGGTGCCTTCCCCCCTGAGTTCGGTTCTGTTTTCCGATGCCGAGTGCAACCGGCGTTCAACGTGGTTCTGTGTTCGTGCGTGTCAGCAACATAGCTGCAACATCGTGATGGCAGTGTTGTGGGTTGTGAACAGAAGACTGGAATTATCGCCGATGTGACCGTGTGTTCGCGTATCAGTGGTGTAACAAGAAGATGAGATCGTAAACTGTTGGGCATTGATGCCGCTGGTCGGGCCGTGATCGGAGGGGGCGGGGTGTCGCAGGTTGACATTCCGCTTTACACTAAAAAGTTTAATACCACTTCAGGGATTACGTGCATCAACGTGCGGATAGTCATGTTGGATCGCTGGTCTGAACAGTGGCCAATGTGACTGTCGGAATTGTCTCGTCCCCGAGAGCGATTACGCTCTGGGGCAAGGACTGAACAGTACGAAATCGTGACAGAAAGTACGTATATTTGCAGTATGGAATTTCGGCATTAAAAAAAAAAATAGTAGGTAAAATCGAAAAACAAAAAAGCTACCCTTTATTTTGCTGTTTAAATATACTACGGTTCCTGGGTAAATTGCCCTCCGTGGCGCGCTGGGATGAGCGCTAGAAGTTTTCGGGCTCGCCACGGCGTAGCTCCGTACACTTAACACCTGCCGCAAGTCGCGGCTTTGGCTGCATTCAATTTGATCGAAAAGCGATTTCTTAGCCCGTGAAGCATCACTTCCAGATGAGGGAATGTCCGCTCTACAGATATTAATTCAAGACGGCAATTGCAGCTTTGCGCGAACAGCACAAATAGAAAAACCAATAGAAATCAGGCTACGACGTGCCGTGAGGGGAAACAAACTCATGGCTTCGAACCGCATTGGAGCGGTTGGATTTATTAGCTGTCAAATAATTACGGCACGATCGAGCGTTTACTTTTTAATAAGAGATTCATCCCCTGGGCCATTCAAAATAGTCTCAGAGGTATGACATTGCTGGGAAAAGATTAACATGCTGGGTATATGTTTTATTGCTTAGGGAGTCACCGAAAAGTTCCGTACGTTCAAAACGACCACTATAAAAGACGGAAATGCAGAGCACGGTGTAGTGTTCGGGGTAGTGTGGTGTTCCGCTGTATTGATATTTGTGTGCGCTGTGTATGTGCTCAATGTATGTTCACCTGATGCTTCTATTAAGCGTAATGTGTGTAAAGTAGAGGATCCCCAAGCGCAGTATGCCCTAAGAGAAGCAAATTATTTTTTTGTAAAACATGAATTGGGCGGTACCTAGCGCCATCTAGCCTAGCTACTTGCAATTACTCTGCTTTACCCCGCCATCTGGTGGCTAGCGATTTAACCTTCTTTCACGCTACGCGATAAACAGCGGCTTCGAGTTTGTTCTTTCGAGGGCGGCTTTTGGTTTCGCGGATTGAGTTTGCCCTTCTCCGTGATGTGCGGTTGACGAAGGAATTGTGACTCGAGGAACACCAAAGGTAAGACGCAAAGTGCGCGAAGTAACTGGGTATCGGTTGTCTCCGTTTAACATCACAGTGCTGTCGACGAGAAGACTGAGTAAATGCTTTCGAAACGCAAGTTTCTGTACCTGTGGGGGGAATCTGGCTTCGGAAATAAACACAGTTCGCGGAAAGCTCGTGTTATGCTTTTATTAGCTGCTTCTCACGTCCCGTACAAGAGACGTAGCGTCCTCGTCAAGCCTTATTGGGCTCGATTTGCTCGATTCGGGGCCGCCATATTGAGATGCAAGCGACGGAGGAACTTTGCTCCCCTGCTTCGGGGACGAAAGTTTCTCCCTTTCTAAAGGAACATAGGTTACAAGACCGTTCCTCCCCTAAGGGAGGACTATCCATACCCTTTTTTCTAAGAGTGTACTGGAGTATCGGAGCACAACGAGACAAGAACTCAATGCCATCCCTCCCCAGCTACTTATTAGAAAAGGAACCCGAAGCACTCTCTTTCCCACGACCATGCGGCTACTTCCACAAATCAACTACAAGCGCCAAAAACAAGCACTGAGGAACATAATGGTAAACAATTACAATGAAAAAGAGGAAGATCTACCTCCACTACTCCAAGGAGACTCTGTGAGAGTCCAACCCACAGGAAAACGCACACGGGGCAAAAATTAGTCGTGCAGAGGGCAAAGAACAGATCGTATGATGTTGAAACGAATAGAAATGTATGTACTTCGGCGAATGAGAGCCGTCATGCAAGGTGCTAGTCCCAACGTGGAGTGGTCAAGAAGAAAACGAGGTGGACAACGACCAGGCCGAAAGCCATCATCAGGAAGAAGGCCCAGCAGGAGACAGCTGTGTCTGCAAAATGTCTTCTGAAGGCAAATTCAAAGGGTCCAAGCAGCCTAAATATCCGACGAGTTCGTGAAGGCCCAGTACCAAACTACCGTATTTACTCGGGTAATAGCGGCACTATTTATGAACAAGACCCTTGTGTCTACTTTCCCGCAAAGCACATATATAGCCAATCATCACGTTGCACAGAAATGACATGGCGAATAACTAGATCAGGAACACGAGTCTCCATACAAATGCAACCTTCCGTTATTTCTGTCCTGTAAACAGCTGGAATCACGCTGTCGATCGTGACAATTGGCGATCCGCGTGCTCCGCGGAGAAGCGAGCCCTAAGATTTTCTCCATAAACAGTGCGGCTATTACTCGAGTAAATACGGTATCTGAAGGGCTATGTACCTTAAAAAAACTGATAATCCCACAATGCCGAAAGAAGGGGGATGTTACACTATGCTATTGCAGGTGTTTCAGTTGGCCCCCGGGCTGCCGGTTGCGGCAGCGCGGTTACGAAAGCCCCCGCAATAAACATGGCTGACCAGCACACATGTGGTCACTTGGGAGAGTAGAAAAACAATGAGGAAGTCGCTGAGCTTAAAAATATCCGGCGTCTTGCATTGATATGCAGCGCTTGAACTGTGGGAGCCGCTGCAGAACACCTGCGAGAGATTTGCAGAACGCAACTTTAGTGCCTGTCCTTTCTATCCAAACGAAATAACAGTTGACAAAAGTTGATTTTTGTTATATTAATATTGTTCCTTTTCGAAGTACAATAAGAGAGTACGTAACGACAACACAATGGAAGCGAGAAAGTTGCGCAGTAAACAGCGTACAATAGCTTGAGTATCTTATGCTAGCGAGCGAACAATCAGCGAGGTCTAGTACATAGTTTCCCTTCAAGATGCGAAAACGGGTGCTGTTCTTCTATAGAACAGTACATTTTCCTTTGAGAAGGTATTTTTATATTTTCAGAACATGTATTTCAATATAATATAAGACAAACTAAGAAAGACACAATGCACGCAACAACGCCATGCGCTACCCTGCATTTACGTTAGTGCTTACGACACTTCATGTTTGCCAGCTACTACTTTATGTTTTTGCACCGCAGTTGTTTTTGCTATAATCATTGCTCATGTTTTTTGCGCTTCACCTGAACGCTTAAACGATGAATGTAGTAATTTGAGCAGCAACACACGCTTTTGTCGTGTTCGTGCGCTAAGCGCGTTGAATGTTTTCTCAATGCGAATCGTCAATAACAGGCGTCGTCCACGTTTTTTGCTGCCGCTGGCCAAGTCGCCACAAAACGGGAATGGAGCAGAACGGACGGAGAAACGGGAAGAAAGGGGGGGGTCACCTTAAGAAAATAAAGGATGAAAAAGTGTCGTACACTCATAGTGATGTGCAACTATTTTCTTTGATACAGGCACACGTAACGTTAGATTTCTCGAGTCCTTCTTAGTAAAATTTGTGGTGTTTAATAATGCTTGCCAAGATGCGAACAATCACATTAATACTGAACTGAAAGTCGTAAAACATTATAAAAGTTTTGGCGTCACTCTCAAAACCCACGTGTGGCTTCACGGTTTTCATCTTGAACACACATGTTCGCAGATATATACGTGCTGTAGTGAAATGAAGTTCACTGCGAGATTTCCTAGACTTGAAAATTTTAGTTCAAGGACGTGAGCGGTTCGTTTTTAATCTTTCCTCGTGTTTATTTGTAGCCCGAGTGTAAAAGATACAGAGGACAGAATGAAATTGTTTAGTCAGTCTCACCCTAGCTCACTCCCAAACTTTTACGGTCAAATATTTGATAGGCCGAGTGTAGACGATGAGCCGAGCGCGGTTTCGCCGACTCCTTCGCCCTCGCGCAAACCAGTTTTCACGCCGACGCATCGTCGCTCGCTGCTGCGGCTGTCGACGCTCGCTGCTGCTTTCTGGACGTTTGTTGTTCCTTTTTACCTCTTGCACAAGTTCACCGATTAAACCTTTTTTTCAGTTCATTATTTATCGTCAACCTGCAAGTGGTTTCTTTGGATGCGGTAAATCTCAGGGCAATATTAAAATGCAACTGTTCTTGCTTGCCTTGATGTGTTTTATAAATCCCAGCCTGTTGTTAGTTCTTCGTGTAAAAAGTATAAATATGTAGAGTGAAAAATCCAATGGCACACAGATATTTTAGAATTTGAAACATGCGCCTAAGCAACGACCACGGCGTCTATAGGAGGTTTCCGTGATAGCACATTCGACACCCTAGAAAAATGATGATAGTTAGGGATCGGTTACACAAGGACGCGCGCTTGAGAAACACCTAACTTTGCAAAAAGGTTGGCAATTGTATGGGTCTCACTTGGGCGTTTTGTGTCTGCTCGGTTTTGCTCCAAGGTGTTAGTTATTGTTAGAGCACAATCATTTTGCATTCATATGACTTATTTTTATGTCTCCCCACATGACATTTAAGGTGCAGGACTTCATCAAAAATTTCACTTATGACTTCAACCAAAGTTGCCGTTATAATTACAATTATGGCGGCTTCCCGCATACATGGAAGGCTTGAGATTGTTCTTTTTTGAAATATGAAGTGAACATAAGGACGGCAGAGGGGTAGACAAATTTCTACTCATTTCAGCAATAAACTTCTCTTTGTTACGTTCGTACGAAATCCAGAATGGAGGTCATCCTGGACCTATCTTTAATATTCAGATGTCGTGCTTCGTGCTCGATTGTTTTCCTCGCTAGGCGCTATAACTTTGGTTGTGATAATGCCAGCTAGTCTTCTTTCTGGATTGAAATAGATCGTCTGTTTGAAATAAATCGTTTCAGAAAAAATGAGTCAGTGTTCTCAACGCCATTTAAATCTATAAAAACACATTTATAACGCGTAACTATGTGTCGAAATAGTACGCGAAAATTAAATTTCAACGATGATGACGGCACATCGCGGAAATTCGATTGCTACGAGTGAACGCTGGCGAACCATGTTGCTGGTGTTGAGGAGTCAAGTTGCTGAGAAAAATTGCCACGTGTGAAGGACTTTTTTTTTTCTTCTTTTGCGTGTTATGAGTTTAACCGTGAAAGAAAACGCACATAGACGTCGATTGCCGTGACATTATCAGCGCCGCTCAAGTGTCTCTATTCCATCGTAGCTTTGGCATGCGGTCGGACTTAAAGTGAGACGGAGCAGAAGGCTGATTGCATTGATTATTCGGGAACTACGACCGATTGCCACGAATTCAGTCGAAACTAAAAGCGGAAACTCAAAACCCCCAAATACGGCCCACTATGCCGAGGTGTTTGTTGCGGTCGGTTTGCCTCGCTGCATACCCGACCCGCAGGAATAACACGGAGCCAACGGTTTGAACAACAAGAAACTACATATAATTGGACATGGACGAGACAATGAAGAATACTAATAGAAAACCAACGAGCAGCGGCGGCGCTTGAGTCCAGCCAGCGGCTGCCTGTGCGCCGCGTCTGATCCGCCTTATCAAGGCGGCGTACGGGATGTGCGCGTGGCCGGCTTGGTTCCGCCGTGACGCGGGAAAGTTCGCCACCTTTGCCCCGCAGTCGGGCAACTGAGCTGGGGAGCCGCCAGGGTGCCCACAGTAGACAGCGTACAGAAAGAAATTTTCCTTCGTTTTGGTTTTTCGTAATATACTCTGTCGGGAAGCGGGTATCTCTTTGCGCTTGCCCTCATCTTGGCGCTTACCCAACGAACGAAATAGGCAAAGAATATGCCGGCAATCAAATGACGGTATTGCCGGATATCCGCGAATATCCTCGGATATGCACGCCTCTAAATATAAGACGTAACCGAAACCAAAACTAACCTCCAACTTTACTGGCTCGCCATCTTGTTGTGACGTCAGATGTTGTGTAAGCATCAGCCCACGGCCAGCTTCAGCCTGTTTCGTCCGACGTCAGAAGCAATCAGAAGGCAGTCGGGATTTTCCGTGCGAAATAGTGAACTACGATTCATCAAGCATTGGCGAGGAAATGTTTTAGAACTTCCAGCACGAGATTTCAGACGATTTGCTTCTCGCATTCGATCCGCCTGCATCGCCTTCCGGGGAACCTTCCCTGAGGCCCCCTTGAAGTCTACATGTCGGCGCACTCGCAATCCGGCTACATGTATAGACCCAGATGCCACGTCGAAGAAGAATGGCATGGAAGGTTTTATTTGCTAGCGAGGTGGGAACCGTTTTCTAGCACGACGCGAACTCTAGGACTCAGCATTCGTGCCAGACTGCTCGGCCCCCCTTCCTTCGCAGAGACCTCTCGGTCGGACACCAATAGGATATCACTCTCTTGTATTCCTTCGTGGTGTTTGTGCACCCCACAGGCCGTCACGGATTCCCCCCTCCCCCTCCATCGCATGCCGCGAACAGCCTAATCCAGAACCATACTCACAGAACCACACACGTTCACTATCACTGCAACGCACAACGCCATGGAGTAGGCGTCGTCTGCTCTTGGATGCAACATTTGACGTCAAGGGCGCCCCTGCTCGTTTTTGCCAGTTAGAGCGGCAGAAAGTGATTCGAAGGTGTACACGCACTTTAAAAATCATTTTCTCTAAATAATATATATATATGCGTATACTTTTATTTTTATCCAATATTTCGTAGACAGAATCACGGGTGTATATTTGATAAGCAGTGAAAATTTGATAGAAACCAATGAATATCAATATTTCGCCGGAGCTCCCCTTTAAGAACTTGCATATATACTAAGTCGTTCTTGGGTGCATGAACAAGGCGGCTCAACTTTGTAGTCGTGAAGATTTGCCCACTACGCCTTTGGCAGATTTTTTATTTCTTTGACAAAAGAGTGAAAGTAAGCAATTATGGCGACCCCGCGACTCTAACTTCCCACAGAAATTGAGTTATTTATTATGCACAAATGGAAGCTCGAGGAAATTTTAGATCCGCTGAAAGAAGGCTAACATATGATTTGCAATCGCTTAAAATCAAAACAGTCTGCCAAACGGCTATTTTTCTTTTTTTTTTTAAGTAGACGACTAAGAAGATTGGGAATTTTAGGGGGAAACCGCTAAACAAGCAACACTGCTTAGACACTCTATAACCGCCACCAAAGGGCGCCATGGTACCTTCAAAGCTTCAGCGCAGGAGATCAGTTGCGACGCATTCTCTGTGCGTGATTGGTTTTGTTCGCTACAAAGAAACGCTTAAGAACGATTATCGCCGTGACGATGCACTTTCGGAGCTGCTTGGTTGGCTCTCTATAGGGTTGTAGCGCAGTCTCAAATTTAAACTCTTTATTTCTCTCCGTTTGGAGAGGGGAAACAGAGAAAAAAGCAACTCAGTTGTTGCTTGACGAGCCTCTGGCTCCCCAAAGCAGCGAAAGAGGACAGCATGTACATACAAATGTTTCTTTCACCATCACACTTATAGCACAAAAATAAACAACATTAGATGTGAGAAGGGGGAAAAGTAATCGATTTAGCCAAGTTTACAAATTCCAGGGGCACTCTCTCACAAACATGGAACGTACATTTTTTATGGTTTCATTCAAAACTTCTACATTCAACTCGCTCAGGCGATTTAAAAAACGAGGTACTATATATTTCAATGTCTGATTTCCGTAGTTTGTTCTGGAGTGCGGATCTAACCATGCGTCTGCAGACCTATACCTCCCTCATCCTAGGGTTGGAAATAGATATGAATATTTTTTCTTTTTGGCAAAAAAGATATTTTAAATGCAAGAAAAAGTTTATAATACTGATTAGGAATCTGTACAATATTCAATATAATAAATAATGGACTAGTATGACTATTATACTCAGCATTACATATGATACGAACCGCTTTTTTTTTTTTGTAGAGTCTGTGGTGGGACTCGAATTCAAACGGACTACACTGCGCTGCGTGATACGGCGTTCCCTCGAAGAGAACCTAGTGTCTTTCTGGCAATAACAAAACACTTCTCAAATCTCTGCAGAGTGTGCTCCGGTAGAAAATGCACACAGTGTAGAATATAAAGCTTTAGAAGCTCATAGAGCTCTTTAAAAAAAATACTCGAAGAACTAAACAAGGCGTAAGAAAGAGAATTACTCAAGTGCAAACCATCGGTAAAAGAAAAAAGAAATAAAAATATATTTTTATACGCAGATTGTTTACTGCATTTATTCTAAGGGCGAAACAATGCCCCCAATCCTAGTGTAAGGGCAATGTTTACAGGTGGAGTCTTAGTCTCCTCCCGCCTGCTTCCAAAGCTACCATTGGCGGGAAAATTCTCATGGAACCGCCCGTTGCGAGGAACACACCCACAAACTGGGATATAAATAAGGCAGCAAAATTTCCACACTTCAGACGAGCAATCGCCCCATCAAGTTCCTTGAAGCAAGAACGCATTACGTAAGTTCTCTTCGAAATTGCTACACTTTTGTATTAGTTTTTGCCGCAATGCAGTGCTGTTAGAGGCCCCACGAGTTCAATGTGTGCTCGTGAAATAGAATTCATAATACCGTACGTTTAAATACCAGTCTGTTGTAGGTAGATATTTTCAGCTACGTTTTAATGCTGTTCCTGCCATTTTGGGTAATATTTGCTTCCATCAATATATATATAAAACCAATTTTGTCTCTAAATCAGTCTTGGGTAAGTTACTTTCAAAATGTAATTCGTTACAGTTACAGTTACGTTCAGAAAAAAAGTAGCGAAGTTACCGTAATGGAGCTTAATTTCAATGGTGTGTCTCGCAGTTGTAAGTGGCAACGGTGACAACACGACTCCATGTTTTTCTTGTATTTGCTCTGGAAAATGCCTGTGCAAAGCGTTCGTGTTCTCGGCGGTCTGGAAATCACTACAATTCATCGTTCATCATGGCCAGTACTTGATGAAATTTACGGGAGACGTGTTTTTCACTCCTCTTATTATCGAATTGTTCTTCGCTTGCCGGCGAATTGAGTAGACGTTCTGGAATATAGATGATCGCGACGGTTTTCGCCGGCGCATGGAGGGCACCTGTGTTCTCAAGTTCGAAGTCTCCTGTTGAAAAGTTAGCGTCGAGTTCGGACCTGAACGTAGCGCTGTGCTAAGGTAAGCCAAGCTTAGAAACTAAGGCTGGCTGCTACACAGAAAGCCCATGCCTGTCTGGTCCCGTTCAATAAAAATGGCTATTGCGATGAGCTACTGCAACGCACAACGAGGAGGAAGGGTCTACTCTTGCGTACAACATTTGACGTCACAATAAACGCCGCCGCTGCTCAGTGCCGCCAGAAGAGGCGCAGTTAGAGATTGAGACGCGTAAACTTCAAAAAAAACTTTTGTCAAAAGAAAATGGTTTGTTCATTATATATTTCGCAACCTTATGTACGCCGAAGGTTTCATAAAAATATATGACCATTAATGTTTCGCAGAAACTCTCTTTTAAAAAAGTTACCTCTACATTCCGAGAAAAAGAATTGAGCTGTCGAGTTTCGCCACTATATTTATTTTATTGTTTCTCTTTTAGGAGGTGGTTCCCGTTAGACTGTGATTTTATATTGCAATATAATCAACATGCGGCTCGTACTTTTCGCCGTGGTGCTTATTCTACCTGCATTTCAAGGTAAGTCGTATAAAGATATCAATGTTTAGAAATTATAACATTTCTTCTGCTTTCTTTCTAAATATACTTTGCCAGCTTTCCTTCTTTAAGAAACACCCGTGATTGGATACCACCGGTGCTCTCTGAACGTCGTTTGGTATTGCAAACAATGCCAATGAACGTCAGGTGTCTGACGAGGCTGACCAAATAGAAGTCAGTGCTTCGCATGCCATTTAAAGGTGCTCTAAGGAGGTTTCTGAGATCGCCTAAATACGGCGATAACTCCCTGTGCGGGCTCTAAGCATCCTATAAATTCATAAATCAGAACGATGCGCAGCCGATTTTTCTATTGGCAAAGCAATAAAAAATCGAGGGCACAGAAGTTATCTCCGGCGGGGTGGAGTATTGTTCCGGCAGCAAGGACGATATGTGACCAATGAAAAGTTGAAATTTCGTTGAGATTGCAAACGCTGATAGTACAAAATATGTATGCATTTTTAGATGATAAAACCAAATAGGTGTAGTCGAAAAATTTTAGCTTTTCGCCAAGAGAGAACATATTATTGCAATATTCGCCTAAAAAAAAAAGGCGCACCATATTTTTTTTTTTTTTTTTTCGTGGTAGTGATGGTGTCCGGTCGTCAGCTCTCGAGCGAGTGCTCGCAGGTTCGAATCGTAGTGCGGACTGAATGGGCAACGAGGCGCGTGCATTGAAGATATCACTCCGCGATTCCGCCGGTCGGAGGTGCCAGGTCCACTGTCAGCTATTGGCTGACAGCGGTCCTGGTTTCGGAACATGCTCTTCCCATCGCCGGAGACCAACTCTGTGTGTCGCGATTTTTTATTTCACTTTTATTGGGAAATCGGACGCGTATAGTAATGATTGAGAAATTTCTAGGATTTTCACAACCAGCAGAGTGAGTTATTGCAATATTTAGGAGATTTCAGAAACTGCTTCACGTCACCTTCATGAGTCTCACACAGGCTACAGTGTTGAACTGATCATCTTTCGTCTAGACATGTGTTCAAGAAATTGGAGAATCTTGACATCGCAAATGAAGTGGTCGCGACTTGCCGGGTTAATGCGCTTTTGGAAGCTGTTGAGGGGATTAAGCAATCAGTTACTAAAAATTCAGCTATTGTGGAGTGCTAAAAATAACTGATGATGATGTTTATAGATAACGTCGGATGTTTTGTGCAGATGGCCCAATTTTTAAATCCCGTATTAAAATGCTTTGGTGGATAACTTAAAATGAATAATTTTACGAATAAAAATTATTGACAAAAGAACTTAATATCAAATTTTCATTAGGCGAACTTCTCCCTACAATCTTAGAAAGCTACCAGCATTTTACGCAATGCTAACGCATGGGCACAGTTCATGCTATGATAATGCAAATAATGCACAGGTGCAAGCCAACAGGGCAAAAATAATGATAGTAATTTCTGTAGATGGGGAACAAGGGGACAAGGGAAAAACACAAACCCCCAAACTGTGTTTTGGAGATTTGCTGTGTGTGGAGATTTGTGTTTGTCCTTTGTCCCCCTTGTTCCCCTTCTCCAAGGATTATTATTTTTGCTTGCACTTGCTCGGGTACGCGATTCTAAAACTCACAATAATATCCTTTTTTGGCTGCACCTTCATAACATTTTTTTTAGAAGGGTTTTTCTCTGAGGCCAATGATGGCTTTGACTGCTTCGGAGTTGTAATGGAGGGCGGAAGTATATTCTGCAAACTCAATGGATATAAAGTAAGTATTGCGAAGAATCAAATACAAATCAGATATTTTTTATATAATCCAAAGCAGCCTTCTAGATTTTTTATTTTTTTTGTTTAATGGAAAGACCTCTATTTTACGTGAAAACCAGTAACATTTTAGAAAACGCTCACAATGTTACCAAGGTAGTGACACATTTGATTCCGTTGCCCGTGGGACGCGGGCAACGGAATCAAATAAGCTTGTGTTTTACATTTAAAAATATCAAACGCGAGCTTGAATTGTGAGCGTCTGATATTTCATGAAGGAAGCAATTGACAAACCGCACTTTATTTTGAGGTTTTAATTAGTCGTTCTGTTGCCGTACAAACGCTGGAATATACCAGTGTGTAAAGAAATGCTCAGAATAAACGCATCAATGGAGAATGGCTCGCGTGCGCCTGGTTTTCCGCACTCTGGACGGCTCACTGACCGGGTCGTACCTATCAACGGCAGTGCGTGTGAATAGACGTACTGGCCAGCCTGAGCCACTGCATGCCAGGACTGTGAGGCATGGCCTGTCCGCGATCCCTGCAGGCGTACGTGAGCTTCTCTCTGTTCCGCTGAGGGAGCCCAAGCCTCTTCCGCGGGGCAGGGAGGAATCCCATGAGCTATGCAGACGACACGGCCAGCATCTGTTCACAAGTTGATGGCCCGTAAGAGGTTCGCTCAAGGGTCTTCGCGCGTGCTCCGTGTCACCCTGGGCGTGCCGAAGGCCGCGGTTGCGGGCTCGGCTGCGCGGGTGCACCACACACAGCGGGTTTGGGCTTGTGGTTGGGGCCTCCGCCGTGGTCTGCGTGGGGGTGGCGTGGGGCACAGCGAGGTTTCTTCCCCTCTGGGTTATGATTATTGGTTTTTTTATACATGTATACATGTTATCTTGTACTTACGACTACTGTTTGTTTATGTTTACACCTATTCAGCGGCGGGCTAGCAGGCGCACATGCGTAAGGGTACTAACCTTTCTGTCTAGCCTTGCACGCCGCTGAGTGGGCAAACTTTCTCGTGAAAAATAAAAATTATTATTATTATTATTATTATTATTATTATCGCCATGAGTGTGCGGGTGAAAAATTGAACATTTGTCGAAGAAACTCCCCCAGCAGAAACCTCTGACTGGCCAATAAGCATCAAAGAAAGCTAAACATAGTGACTTTACTCGAGGCTTGGGCAGCAACATCATGTTTAACATTTACCTTCGTCAGCTAACTTGCCCCGTCGTATTTTGTTCGAGAAAGCTCTCGTTGTCCACGCCCTCGCCAAGGCTAAAGTCTGATCCACACGATCGAAATCGAAAGTCCCACGAAAAGTTTTGCTGGATATTCCAACAGACTAGTTTTAAGCCGTGCCCTTTTAGTGGTTCACGCATAATACCATGCTCAAACCGATCAAGCTTCTGCTCGGACAGCATCATCAGTTTTCTTCAGTGTAAACGGTTATAAAAATTGAAAGATCGCAACCAGCTGCTTTGTAGACAGCTGGTTGCGGAAATTTACGCCGTGTGTAATTATCTCTACGACAGCCGAGTTGCTTGAAGTCATCGCATCTATAAACTACAGGTTGCAGCGACCAAGGTTTGTAGATAAACGTTGGTAGCGGCTACACTCTCGCATTCCCACCGATCACTCCGAACAGAAAGGCGCTAGTTTCGGTTTGAGGTCGGTAACTTTTCTACAACATAGATGGCGGCAGCATCAGTCTTCTGCACTCGGATCATTTGGCGAGTTCGTTCAAGTACAGTTCTCTGTGCAACACGCGGCGAGTGCGATGCATTCTGGGAGAGAACTCGAACGGTGCCAGTGCGTGTGAAACGAACTCGCTATCAGTTCCATTTGGGGAATCTCCGTCCGCCCGCAACCTGCTGTCCTTGAGGAGCTCCCTCTCTTCGCAGGACGCCGTGCTCCTCTGTTGCGGATGCCTAGAAAACCTGACGGGCTTCTCGTAAATCGGATACGCCTTAGGACTGGGCTTAGCCATGATTAATCTTGTCTTTATTTGTGAGGTTCCCACTGACTGTAGAAATAACGTTTGCGTTTTGTAAATGAAAGGCACGGCAAAAAAAAAAGAGCAATAGTCAGTTTTTAATTTATTTGGATTTCATTTTAAACTGTCATTGTACCCACCCCAAAGTTCTACAAAAATACAAAGCAGGCGGTCAAAAAAAAAAAAAATTCAGAAAATGTCGAGGAGAAAACGACAGGTGATTCAATGCCTTTATGTTGTGGGAGGGTTGCCGAGAAGGAAAGTGAGGATCGGGTTCCTTTTCCCTGCTTGAGGGCAGGTCTTTATAATCACCTTTTAAATTGTTTTGTTTGTTTACTCTTCATTGGGCATAGCTTTATTTTAATTCTGATTTGTGACATTATACCCGATCTACAGCAGGAAAGTCTTTCTTGGACTCCTTACGACTGCATGGTCGGATGCAATGGCCCGAAGGTGCGGTTGCCAGAGTCAGTTTGCCCCCAAGGTGGCTTTGGGGTAAGTCACGAGATAATGTTCTCGCTGCCTTCCCACTCTTTTCTTTTTATTTTGCGAATATTAATGACAGTTGCCCTCTTTTACAGATTTTTCAAAAAGTCATTTATCATTCAATTTTGCTTTACAAAAATCATGCCATAATTCTTCTGTTTAGACAAAACACAACTGGCACTTATTTTCTCTCTGTTTACCATCTGCAGAGCCAGTTCGCGAACCATTTTTTACATTTGCAAGACCATGCGTCTTACTATCGAATCCTCCTGAGGGAGGTAGTCAGTCATCCCTGTAATGCATATTCAGATAATCAGATATTTTCCTATATCCAGTGCACTGACGGCACATAGCACGAAACATTTTTAACGTGCAACAGCTGCATAACATTGTTGACAGTTGTTTTATAAAATGGAAAACGCCTCTTATACTTACACCTAACTTCTCATGATCAAGTCTACTAGTAAAGGGGCTGGAGGAAACAGAAAACTAACGATCCATCTAAAGTTCCTATAGCCTCCTAATGTTGCGTTTAGGCAAACAACCATCTTGACCATGACTGGTGGACATAAATGCGGAGGCAGTGGCCACGTGCAATACCGTCCGTCGTTCAGCCTGGGGATGAGGCACATTCCTGCTTAATATTTGCAACCGGTGCTCCCAGTAGCTTTTCTGCAAGAATTATTAAAATATCAAAATATAACTGCGAAAGCAGTAACTGCCCCATGGAACGAAGCCGGCGATATCTCATGTCTGTAGCTGCGAAAAACGACACCTAAATACCCTTTGGTTGAGCGAAACAACACCTAAATATCCATCGGCTGACCGAAACGGTACATAAAGTCCCATTAACTGCCAAGCGGACGCCGCCTCAGAAAAAACAAAAAACAAAGAAACACAAAGAAGAGCACAGCAACCCAGATGCGTCGTCACGGAAGCCGTGGTGCCGGCGGGGGTGCCGCGCCTGCGCAATGAGGGAGCGTGACGTCACTGCCGGAGCGCCGTGTGAAAAAGGAAGACGTGGCGCGCTGCTTGTAGGAATGCGCTCCGTGTATGCAAAAATTGTCCGAAAGCCGGAATTCATGATTAAAAACAAATACCCCCGACTTGCTTAACAATACCAACAATTTATCAGACGTTTCGTCTCCTATGCGGGAAGGAGGGATTGCTGGTAGCTAGTCGGGTGTCCCCAGGCCGCACTGATGATGTCTCCCGCATAGGAGACGAAACGTCTCATACATTGTTGGCATTGAGCTACGTGTAAGAATTCTTTCGCATTCCTACACGTCAGCAGTGTCAAATAAGTGTCTTCGTTCAATTTTTTTACATAATATTATAAGTAGTAAATGTGATTGTATATTTGTCAAAAATAGATGCAGGAATAACAGCAGGGGTATTAGCAGTGGTATCAACATTAGCAACAGTAGCAATTACGTACTAATATTGATATTTAAAATACCTTGGAACGATAGGGAAAAAAACTATATAGGGACAGAATACATAAAGTACATTTTTTACGAATGTGCTGTTCGTGTTCTGTTAGGGTCTTCATTCTCTCTCAAGACTTTACGCTACACCAACGCACTGACCTCCAAATGAACGACATTAGGTTGGGACGTTTTTCTTTTTACACAAACATACTGGCACTTGTGCTATCCTAGTATGCCTGCTCGCAACGCCACTGACCATGAAGCGTCTTTGCCGCTGTGTAAAGTCCATGATACGTGTGAACTTCTTCCAACTTCCCCTTCACCAAACATAATGACGGAGTAGCGGGTGTCGTAACGTTGTCGTAGTTGCGGGACTATTTGTAATGAATATATTCAAATGCAGCTCATATAGATTGCAGACGAGTACTGCGGGAGCAAACGGCTTGGCCTCGTGACAATCAATGCGTGAACAAGTATTCGGTTGGTGACGCCAGCCAAATCGCTGCAGCGACGCTAACAGCCGACTCCTAACCCTGTCTGCAGCTTAGCACGTGCGATGTGGTTGCCAACCCCAGTGCACGACTGTGATGAACGTTGGGCGGCATATAACTGGTTCAAGATCATCTGGCTGCCCATTCTGCCTTTAACTTGAGAATGTTAACGCCACTCCTTTCTCTGATTGTGTTGAAGCTGCCATTACGATATATAACTAGGGTTCCGTATTTTAGGATGAATAAAAAAAAATACGAAAAACATTCGCCGGTAAATGTCCCGTAAATTCGAATTTATCCGAAAAACTCAAAATTTTAAGGTCACAGCGACAAAAGAAACAAAAAAAGACGGAGTTTTACCGCTAAACTTTATAAGAGCACAAGGTCTGTGGTCCTGGGGAGATTTCACTTCAGTTTCCTTCGAAATTTGGAACTACTAACAAAAGGGGGATAGCTTTTTAGCATGTCGAGGTTCCTACGCCACAACGGGTCATGGTACCCGGTCATCATTTATTTTGTTTTTGAATTTTTAAGTTCTACGAGTAAAATAAACCTATAATTTAAAAAAAAGACCTGGGAATCTGACGAGAGTAAACTTCGATAAACTCCGAATCCTTTCCTAAAAATAAAGTCTGCAAAACACCCTCCTAGTTTCACGAGAACTAAACTCCGAAAACACGGAATCCTAATCATAATGTAACCCATGTATCGTAGGTTGAGACCGCCATAGAATAATGCAGCGCGATATTTAGTGAAAGCCCAGAAATAGTGGCACGGCTCCCGTGATAAAATATTCAAGGGACTAAATGTTTACCTCTTCGTTCGGGTAACTAAACGAAATATCCTCCCAAGCACCCAAATTTTATTTAAAAAAAAGTACATTTTAGTGCCTGTTTTGGGGTGAATATTTCATCACGTATTTTATTACACAATAAATGCAGTGCAATTGAAAAAAAAAACTAAAAACGACGATGTGTTTACACGCTGGTGTGTGCATTTTATTGTTATAAAACCAGCGTTAAAATTTTCTTTCTTTACAGGAATGCGATGCAAATGTGATGGCAAACCTCACAAATTGGACGGACGCCATGAAGATTAGAAAAAGGATAATTATGCGAAATTGGTGCCTTGGTTAAAATAAGACCTGAATTAAATAAAATGTGCCATGTGCCTTTCACCTGAATGTATTATTAGTAACAATGTATATCTCAATTTTAGTTCTTCATGATGTGATGTTCAGTAACTTCAAGCTGGACTGTATTGCGATAAAAGGGTTCCCTGTTACATCCTTGAAATATTTTTACTAGGGCATATATTTAAATCTGTATGAAGATCAAATATGTGAACGGCATTTGTTACTCAGTAATGAAATGGACTTAATATTTTCCATGATATTTTAATATCTTCCTGAGCTTAGACGTTGCCTTACATATGGTTTCAAAAATGAGCGTTCCTGGTTTAAGAAAAGAAACGAAGACAATTGTTATTTCAACTTGTCAAAGTGTCTACTTTAGTAATTTGGAACATGGCCTCAGTGTACCAAAAACAAGAAAAAAAAAAAGATAAAAAGTAATATAAAAATTTGGCTCGAAGTCCTAACTTGTGTCCTAGCTTTAAAATTATTCGTTGCCCTCAATATTTATATATTTATGTTTGACCACACAACAGTGTCTGAGATAAGGTGATAAGAAATACGCGCTGAAATAAATTTCTGGCATGTAGGGAGGGGAAGGCGTTCGAGTTTTCCGAAACCAATCTTTTTTTGATGAATTCAATTTCCAGCAAACTCACCGTTCATAATTAGACTGCGATGTGCACGGCATTATGTGGCTTGGAATGTGCACGTGCCGTGCACGTTTTACGCAACATTGTCTGAGATAAGGTGTTACGAAACACGCGCTGTATGGCATTTCTGGCATGTATGGCGGGGAGAGGCGTTCGATTTTCCCGAAAAAAGGTTTTCTCCGAGCAATTTCATTCCTAGGGAATTCACCTTGCATAATTAAACTGCGATGTGCACAGCATTATGTGGCTTAGATTGTGCACATGCCGTGCACGTTTCACGTAACAATGTCTGAGATAAGGTGTTACGAAACACGCGCTGTATTGCATTTTTGCAATGCATGGACGGGATCGGCGTTCGATTTTCCCGAAAACACTTTTTCTCTGGGCAATTTCATTCCTAGGGAATTCACCTTGCATAATTAAACTGCGATGTGCACGGCATTATGTGGCTTGGAATGTGCACGTGCCGTGCACGTTTCACGTAACAATGTCTGAGATAAGGTGTTTCGAAACACGCGCTGTATTGCATTTCTGCAATGCATGGACGGGAACGGCGTTCGATTTTCCCGAAAACACTTTTTCTCTGGGCAATTTCATTCCTAGGGAATTCACCTTGCATAATTAAACTGCGATGTGCACGGCATTATGTGGCTTGGAATGTGCACGTGCCGTGCACGTTTCACGCAACAATGTCTGAGATAAGGTGCTACGAAACACGCGCAGTATTGCATTTCTGGCACGTATGGAGGGGAGACACGTTAGATTTTCCCGCCCGAAAACAGTTGTTCTCTAAGCAATTTCATTCTTAGGGAATACACCTTGCATAATTAGACTGCGATGTGCACGGCATTATGTGGCTTAGATTGTGCACATGCCGTGCACGTTTCACGTAACAATGTCTGAGATAAGGTGTTACGAAACACGCGCTGTATTGCATTTCTGCAATGCATGGAGGCGAATGGCGTTCGATTTTCCCGAAAACAGTTGTTCTCTGAGCAATTTCATTCCTAATTTACCTTTCATAATTAGACTGTGATGTGCACGGCGATATGCGGCTTGGAATGTGTACATGCCGTGTACGTTTTACGCAACAGTTCAAGAAGATTTTATGCGAAAGAAAGCTGGGTAAAAGCATAAACTCCTAAGCTTAATGCGCTTCTTATGCAGAAGACCAGCGATATCTGCCGCGCAAGCAAGAGGCCATAATTGCTTCTCTAAAAGGAATGTTGAAAGAAGCACCGACCGAGCAGTTTGCTAAGACTGGTGGTATCCTACGCGCCATGGAATTGGGAAACACGCGCCTTCTGTTCGAAATTGCGTTGAGGGTGTTTTCAGTGCTTGAGGACTCAAACACATACCTGCAAGGACGTTCGTCAACAGTTCATAGAATGGTCCAGGTGCTGGAATCTCCCAAGCGCAGTTGCGCCATCTTCGGTCTGAAGAAATGTTCGATGGCCTGCTTGAACAGGTCGCCAAAGCTGCTGAGGATGGCAGTGTACATGCAGAAGAACCCCAAAGATCCAGACGGTGCCCCGCCAGGTACGAGAAAGGGAGCACCACCTTCCAGTTGAATTGAAAACCTATTTTCGGCGTGCAATTTTTCCATAGTTGATGCAGCACTGTCGGAACATGCATGAGTAGACACGACAGTACTTCAAGGATGTAGAGAGTGTCCTCAGGGTAATCCTGGTAATGCCAGTCTCCTCCAGTGAGGTGGAACGATCGTTCAGTGCCATGGAAAGGTAAAAGACATGGCTGCGGAGTACCATGGGTGAAACAGGCCTAAGCTGCATGGCGCTGGCACATCTTCATGAAAACGTTGTAGACCGCATGAAGTTGTCGCAGCTGATGGGCGGTTTTGTCGGCGCATGCAAGAACCGCGCTCTCGTTTTTGGACCCCCTCTAGAGTTCTAAACTAGGAAACTTAGGGACCTATTACGAATCCGTATTTCAGAGTATATTGGGTTGCCATTACACGTGTTAATCGCAAGCAATATTAACAAGAACATATATGTTCACGCGCTGCTGTTTTGTCAAGATTTTGTTTTGTTTTGTTTTGCATACAGTTTTAATTTCGAGTGAAATCGTGCCATTCCTCCTGCGTTTAATTTCTTGCTACCATTGCTGCCAAAAGACTGCATGGCCCTGCCATGCACTTCTGCCTGTGGCCATGCCATCTGAGACATTTCTGACAGTTCTGTCTCAAATAAAGGTATAAACAAGCAAAATTTAGCAGACAAGTTTCTTTTCTTTGTTACACGGTTTTTGTACGTTTGCCTTGGTTCTGGTGCGTAGACGTCAACGTTTTTTTTTTTCTTAATATAATTTGAGCTCCTAACTTTTTTCGAGCAAATTAATTCGTTTGCGCACTGTAAATCGTTAACAATATTATATTAATGCTAGATGTGAGCATCCGTGCATGTTTTTTGTTTGTTTTAGTGTACAGTTTTGATTTTTGTGTAAAATAAAATCTATATTTTCAATAATCAAGATGGCTGCCATGGCAAAGTTCGTGACCCCCCCCCCCCCCCCCCCCCTGATATTTTCCTAGATTTACACCACTGCTCAGCTGACCACCCGTTATGGCGGGCAACACGTTCATATTGTTGTAGCCAATGCTCGATGTCCTCGCGTATCTTCCCGTGGAAAGACGTCGGAGTCCGGGATGCGTCAGGTAGGTATAGGACGGCGGCAGCGACCGGGGTCTCCAACGACTGGTTGTCCATCTTTGGTCTCGTTGGCTGCTTGGTCTTGGATGACAAAAGTCTGAATTCCGGGGTAGGACTTGGCTGCCGGCTTCCTCGGGTCTTGGTAGTCCTTGCGGATGATCCTCTTGAACCGTTGATTGGGCTTGCGCTGCGAAGCCTCGGAGGGGTACGCTTCATCGGTAGCTGAACCCCGCACCTCCACCAAAATGTCACCAATTATCTATGTACGGATTCGTAATAGGTCCCTAAGTTTCCTAGTTTAGAACCCTAGAGGGGGTCCAAAAACGAGAGCGCGGTTCTTGCATGCGCCGACAAAACCGCCCATCAGCTGCGACAACTTCATGCGGTCTACAACGTTTTCATGAAGATGTGCCAGCGCCATGCAGCTTAGGCCTGTTTCACCCATGGTACTCCGCAGCCATGTCTTTTACCTTTCCATGGCACTGAACGATCGTCCCACCTCACTGGAGGAGACTGGCATTACGAGGATTACCCTGAGGACACTCTCTACATCCTTGAAGTACTGTCGTGTCTACTCATGCATGTTCCGACAGTGCTGCATCAACTACGGAAAAATTGCACGCCGAAAATAGGTTTTCAATTCAACTGGAAGGTGGTGCTCCCTTTCTCGTACCTGGCGGGGCACCGTCTGGATCTTTGGGGTTCTTCTGCATGTACACTGCCATCCTCAGCAGCTTTGGCGACCTGTTCAAGCAGGCCATCGAACATTTCTTCAGACCGAAGATGGCGCAACTGCGCTTGGGAGATTCCAGCACCTGGACCATTCTATGAACTGTTGACGAACGTCCTTGCAGGTATGTGTTTGAGTCCTCAAGCACTGAGAACACCCTCAACGCAATTTCCAACAGAAGGCGCGTGTTTCCCAATTCCATGGCGCGTAGGATACCACCAGTCTTAGCAAACTGCTCGGTCGGTGCTTCTTTCAACATTCCTTTTAGAGAAGCAATTATGGCCTCTTGCTTGCGCGGCAGATATCGCTGGTCTTCTGCATAAGAAGCGCATTAAGCTTAGGAGTTTATGCTTTTACCCAGCTTCCTTTCGCATAAAATCTTCTTGAACTGTTGCGTAAAACGTACACGGCATGTACACATTCCAAGCCGCATATCGCCGTGCACATCACAGTCTAATTATGAAAGGTAAATTAGGAATGAAATTGTTCAGAGAACAACTGTTTTCGGGAAAATCGAACGCCATTCGCCTCCATGCATCGCAGAAATGCAATACAGCGCGTGTTACGTAACACCTTATCTCAAACATTGTTGCGTGAAACGTGCACGGCACGTGCACATTCCAAGCCACATAATGCCGTGGACATCGCAGTCTAATTATGCAATGTGAATTCCCTAAGAATGAAATTGCTTAGAGAACAACTGTTTTCGGGCGGGAAAATCTAACGTGTCTCCCCTCCATACGTGCCAGAAATGCAATACTGCGCGTGTTTCGTAGCACCTTATCTCAGACATTGTTGCGTGAAACGTGCACGGCACGTGCACATTCCAAGCCACATAATGCCGTGCACATCGCAGTTTAATTATGCAAGGTGAATTCCCTAGGAATGAAATTGCCCAGAGAAAAAGTGTTTTCGGGAAAATCGAACGCCGTTCCCGTCCATGCATTGCAGA